TTGCCTTCCTCACATCCAATGCTGACCCTTTAACCCCACTATAGTGGAACACAGTCTGTGTACATGAATAAAATAGATTGCTCTAATCAATTGCATGGTTTAATTAATTTGGTCATGATGATTTGGATCAGTGGACTTTCTCCTCACATCTTTGGGATTGACACTATAACTCTCAAAGTTCTTCCCTACATATATCCTTCATCAAGGCTTCCCACACATAAAGCTTCCCAAACAGCACAACCAATTAGAAACTCAGTTTTGAAATATGGGCACATTTCTCATTTAAGCCATCACATAGTCTTTAGCAAGGCTGCATTTTGGAAGAAAGGCAAGCCCACTGAAGAAGAAACAGAGGAGCCAATTTGACAGAGCCCCTACATCCACCTTCAGCTTAAACTATTCGTCTGCCTTTGCATTTGTCCTCTTTGATAGCTCCTCAATCTGCCAGTATTCCCCCAAACCCTGTCTTTCTCTCCTCAGTCTAAGCTTCTATCACTTATCACATCTACAAAAGCTGTTAACAAACCTTCGACAAGCTACCAGGTCCAGGACTCTCCATCTTTGGTAAAGGGAGCACTTTCAAAACAAATCTAAATGTCTTACTCTGCCTTCTTTAAAACCAATGGCATTCTGCATATTAACATAGAAAGGTGAAACACAGAAAGCATGCTTTTAGCTATATACATGTAAGGGGCTTGCTGTGACCAGGATTTTTTTCTTCAGTTCCCTGAGCTTGCCCGTGCTCTGCCTTCCATGTGGGATACAGTTTGAGTATCACAGGGGCTATCCTGTGTCTCTTTCTTCGCTTTTCTCATATGTAAAATACTTGTCCAGATAGATCGTTTAATTAATTTCTGATACTAATAAGTATATGTATTGTTAGTGTAATTATATTATCGCTCAACATTGACAAATAGTTGTAGTTAAAGTCTGCTAAGTGGAAAAGTCTTGTATTTTTATAAAATATGCACTCAACAAATTAGGGCCGGATTCCATCACTATGGATCTAAGTCTGCCCCTTAATGGTTATAAACAGCATCTTTAGCTATATGCAGGTCTCAGAGATTTTGGAGAAAGATGTTCACATTCTCGATAAAGGCATGAACTCTTTCCTGAACTCTGGAGGGGAATCACTTCAGTGAGTATAATGAAATCTTCAGATCTATTATACATTTACACCCAGCTCTGTAAAAAAAAAAAAAAAAGCAGAAAAAGAAAATCATGTTAGTTCCTCAGACTTAATTAAGTTGGAAATAAATGATCACTTCTGACAGATTGTTGTTCTAAGAGCATTAGAATGAGATGAACTGTCCTAAAAACAGGCAGAACCCACTGGACAGCCTTCTGCCCCTCCTGCACACGCCAGAGGTTCCTGAAAGGATGTGGCCTGAGAAGCTGCAGCCACGCATTGTCCTAAGTAAGCACTTAACTTCTCAAGAACTGAAACACTCATAACTTCTGATCCATCAATTTCTCTTTTTAAGATAAAATGAAGAGGGAGTAGATCTGAGAGAAAGGGGAAAGAGAGGAACAAGGAGGAGTAGAGGGAGGGGAACTGCAGTTGGGATATATTATGTGAGAGAAAAATCTATTTACAAAAAAAATATCCAAAAAACTATTACTGATGGAAATGGAAAGATTTCTTGTGCTCATGGGTTGTTAGGTTTAACCATAAAAAATAAAAAGGGTCATCTTATGAAAAGCAATCTATAATTCAAATCAGTCCTCATCAAAATCCAGCACATTTTTTTAACACATTTTGAAATAACAATACTCAACCCCAGGAAAGCTAAAATAATCCTATGCAATAAAAGAACTTCTGGAGATAGTACCATCTCTGATTTCAAACTCTACTACAGAGCTATAGTAACAAATAAATACCACATGGTTTACAAACAGTAAGCTCAATGGAACTGAATCAAAGACCCAGATGTAAATCCACACACCTATGGACACCTGTTTTTTTTATTAAAATAATAAAAGAATATACACTGAAAAAAAAAAGATTTTCAACAAATGGTACTGATCCAACTGGATTTTGGCATGTAGAAGACTTCAAATAGATCCATATCTATCACATTGCACAAAACTCAAGTCCAAATGGATCAAAGACCTCAACATAATACCAGATACACTGAACCTGATAGAAAAATAAGTGGAGAATAGCTTTGAAACCATTGGCACAAGAGACAACTTCTTGAACAGAACATCAGCAACACTTGTTCTAAAATCACCAATTAATAAATGGTATCTCATGAAATGGAAAAGCTCCTGTAAGGTAATAGGACAGGACATTAGCCTAATAAATAGAAAAAGATCTTCACCAACCCCACATTTCACAGAGCAATGATATAAAGCATTCAAGAAACTAGACTTCAAGAAGCCAAATAATGCAATTAAATATTGAGATACAGATCAAAGCAGAATTCTCAACAGAGGGAATTCAAATAGCTGAGAAACATTTAAGGAAATGTTCAACATCCTTATTCTCCAGGGAAATGCAAATCAAAACAACTTTGAGATTCTATCTTACATCTGTTAGAATGGCTAAGATAAAAAAACACAAGGTTTTTGTTTGTTTGTTTTGTTTTGTTTTTAACGCTGGCTAAGAGGTAGAGCAAGGGGAAAGCCCCTCCACTGCTGGTAGGAGTTCATATGTGTACAGCCACTTTGGAAATAAATATTGTGATTTCTCAGAAAATTGGGAAACAATTTACCTCAAGACCCAGCTATGCCACTCCTCCACCCTACCACAAGGACACTTGTTCAACTATGTTCATAGCGGCTTTATTCTTAATAGCCAGAAACTGGAAACAACCTGGATGTTCTTCAGACAAAGAACGGATAAAGAAAATGTGGGTCATTTACATTATGAGAAGTATTACTCAGCTGTTAAAACAATGAGGTCATAAAATTTACAGGTAAAGAGATGAAACAAGAAAAAACAAAAAAACCCATCCTGACTGAGGTAACCCACACTCAGAAAGATAAACATGGTATGTACTCACTTATAGGTAGATATTTGCTGTAAAGTAAAAGATAATCATACTATACAGATCCAGAGAGGCTAAGTAACAAGGAGGGCTTAACAGGGAAAACAAGGATCTCCCTGGGAAGAGAAAATACAACTGATTTTGCCAGCGGGCTGGGGATGGCTGGGGTTCTGAACCGGAGGATCAGGTGTAGGAAGAGGGAAAAATACTGGGAGAAATGATTGCAGTTGGGGAAGAATTTCGGAGTGGACATAGAAACCTAGTGCAATGGAAACTCAATAGAATCTGCAAGAGTAACCCTAGCAAGCACTCTTAGTAATATCGGCCGAGGAGCCTGAACTGCCACACACACCCCTTTTTTTTAACCAGGGAAAACCTCTAGTGGAGGGATTGGGACACTAATCCAGCCACAAAACTTTCTATCTATAGTTTTTCCTGTCTGCAGAGTGTTCTGGGACTGGAGCCTAGCAGAATCATCATCAGAGAGAGCAGAGAGACTTTATCAAGCAACTGTTAAGAACAGATGCAGAACCTACATCCAGACAGTAGGCAGAGCTTGGGAGTCCTGTGGAGAAAGGGGTCAAGGATCAGACAAAACACAGGGGCAGGGATACTACAAGAACCTGGCCCACAGAACAAACTGACTGGGACTTAGGAAGGCTTACAGAGATCAGAGAGACTGTATGGGTTTGATCTAGGTCCTCACATACATGTTATGGCTGAATAGGTTGGTGTTCTTGTGGGAATCCTAACAGTGGGGCTGGAGAGGGAGCTGTCTCTGACATTTTTGCCTGCTGGTGGGACCCTTGCTTCCTCCTGGGTTGCCTTTCCCAGTCTTGATGTGATGGTATGTGCTTGGTCTTATTGTAGCTTTTTTTGCTGTGTCTGGTTGATGTCCCTTGGAGGTCTGCTCTTCTCTGAGGAGAGGCAGGGCAGCTATAGATCTGGGGGAGACGGAATGTGTGGAGCAGAGATTATGAGTAGAGGAGAGAAGGGAGAGAAAACTGCAGTAAGGATGTATTATAGGAGAGAAGAATAAAAGTAAAAAACTATTATTAAGCTTCTTCAAATAAAGATATTTACTAAATGAAAAATAAACTTAAGCACTTCTCAAATATGAGTTGATTCAAAATTTTCAGTATTCTTTAGAGCGAAGGTACTTTGCCACATCCATTGGAGTAAAGATTCCCCTGTCTTTCAGGCCTTTTGAAATGTCTATATTAAGTGCGGATGTCCAACAGATGCAGAAAAAGAAAGTCTGGTCTGATTTTCGGTCACAGTGAAGCGTCCTCCATGAAGACTGATACAAAGCAAAAACAGCCAACATACAAGCAAACAGTACATTAATCTAATTCTAAGTTTAGAAATGTTATTAATGTGTGCATACATGGGCATGCCTGTGTGTGTGTCACAGCAAGTACATAGAAATCAGATGACAACTTTACGTGTATATTCTGTCCATCAGTAGATTTGGATTTTGAGAATCAAATTCGTGCTGTCAGGTTTGTGTGGTAAGTACTTGTACCCCCTGAGCCATCTTGCCTGTCCTTATTTTTATTCAGTTAATTCAAGTGAACCTGTTGCGATCTTATGAAGAAAGCTTCTGGAATATTTCACTGTACAGTATGTTTAAGAAGAGGTTCAGACTCAGCTGAATTCAAAGGACTAGCCTAGTCCTTGCTGTTCCCTATGCTGTCTGCATGTGAGTAGTGTTTCACGGCAGCGAAAAGTAAAAATTAAAAAAAAAAGCATTTTAATATGTTTAGACTTTAAAAAATTTTTAATTTGCTCTAGGATTTTTCTTTTTAATGGAACTAAATTTTTTGTTGTCAAACTGCAGTTTGATTTAATTACGGCATTTAACATTTGTAGAGGTGGAGGACACTGTTGGTTCTCTGAGTAACCAGTTTCACCTTCCAATTGAGTTGAACAGTGTAGGAAGACTGCAAAAGAAAATGTTTACTACAAATGGAATAACAAACTACTGGGGTCACGAAATTCTTTTACCTCTTGAAATAACTGTTTCTAGCCCTGTTCCATTGATGAAAGCCCGTGTTATGGTCTGTGTTTTGATGTCTGTCCAGTACAGACGTTCTTCAGAGGCATCGAAGTCTATTACAGCAACGTCATCAATGTCTGGGACAGTGAAGGCTGTGATGAAGTTCACATATGGATTGTCAATGTCCACTCCTCGGATCTCAGAACGTCTCACGTAAAGAAGAAACTTTTTCATTTCTAGAAAATGAAATTTTAAAGTGATCATTATTTTCCTTATATTGTTGGCAAGTGTAAGACAGTCTTGACTTCTAAAGTAGCAACTTTTGATGAATTGAATTTTAACACACAAAAATTAAAAAAAAAAAAAACCCTGATGGACAGATGTATATATCATCTATCTTAAAGGTACTTGGAACCTTTAAGATAGATGATGTAAAAAAAAAGCTAAAAATATCTTCAACTAATATTATTTAGTTTGTAATGTCAAAAATCTCAGTATTTAATTTTATCTCAGCATACCAAAACACTGCTAACTAAAGCCAGATCTGGAGGTATTGCAAGATTTCTCAGTTTCGGGCTGGCCATAGCTATATAAAGAGAACCTCTCAGAAAACAATATATACAAGCAAACAAAACCAGAACTTGCTGAATATATGTTCTCAACACCCATATTTTATATTGGTAAGTAATAAAAACAATATTGCCTCTTATTAAATGATTTTTAAATTTCCTAAGAATATGTTTTTCTATAAAAATTTACTTAATAAAATAAAATTAGGCATTATTTTTTTAAACTTTAATTCATATATTTGTTGTCAAAATTAGGGCTTAGGTAATCTTCAGTTTTTATTGTAAATTTTTGCAAATCACTTAAGAATATCGTTTCCTAAAAAAAAAAAAATGTGACTGAATAAAGTAAAATTGGGCATTATTTTTTTTTTAAAGTCAATCCATATATTCCTTGCCAAAATTAGGGCTCAGGTAATCTTCCATTTTTATTGTAAATTTTTATAAATTTGTTGTTCTAGTATTGGGAAGCATTCAGGTACTTTCCCTGTCCTGTTTGTGAAATAGGAGTTATAGTTCTAACATTGTTTGTTGTCACTGGGTGGTTGTTATTTTGAGAAAGGCACTAATCTGGTATCAGGTCCGTGACAAATTCTCTTGTACAGTACTCTTCTTCATATGTAATGGCAGAGCAAGTCCTGTACTCTCTGTGGGGATCTTTAAAATCACTAACATGCTCAATTCCCTGCTCTCTCCTCTAGGTAACGGGTGTTTTGTTATTTCTCTGTGGGGCTGGACCTCAGCGCATGTTGTGCCTCTTCAAGTCTGGAATGTGTCCATGCCATGGATATAGAACTTGTTACATAACTTCATTATGGTAAACATGGACACTCGCCTCCCAGCTACATACCTGAGCCCATGAAAGACACCCCAATGCCCTCAGCATGGCCCTCTGGTTTGGCAGAACTTGCAGCCCCCGTATTCCTAATGTTTGGATCCTCTAGTGCCTCTTTTTTTTTTTTTTTTTTTTTTTTAATAATTATCACTTGATGGTCCTCTGTGTCCCTCTAGAAACTCTTAACTGACCTAAACAAGAATCCTGATCAGAGGAGTCTGATATTCTTCTGAAATAACTGCACAGAACTAAAGCCCCTAGTACTAGACTCATAATTTAACTTCTGATAAGTGGTTGTATATTCTACCCTATAGATTAAGTAACTACTTTATCAAAAAATATTAATAAAATATTTATTTTCGTTAATGTAAGTTATTAAGTGTAAATACTTTTGTCTGTTTTTAAAGTTATATTTCAAGCTACACATTTTTTTTTTTTCCCTTCAGGTTGACAATCACCTGCTAAATGAATAGGAGATCAAAGCTGATTTCCTCCTGTCATGCTGGCTACCCTAGTCATCACTTCCTGGCACTGCGCTTATACTCACTCATCTGTTTTGCAGAGATAAATTTGGCTAACGCATCAAATAAAAAGTAGCAGGAAAAAAAAGTGAAAAGGGCGATAGACAGCAAATAGAACATACCGGATTTGAAAGGATTGTCAGTTTCCCCAGAAACAGCTGAGTTCTTACAGCTAACATATTTTTAAAGGCAGTTAAAACCTCTTCCACTTCACTGTGAGAAAAATCTGAATGCCCGCAGAATCTGAAAGAATTCCATTCAGATTTGGCTAGGAACTCTGGGAAACTCACCGTAGCAGGTCTTCTTGTCAGAGGAAAGCTTCATGAGGTGTGGGCAGGCACAGGCTGCGCTCCTATTGTGATTGATGAGACACAGGTGAGAACAGGGGCCTCTGCCTTCATTGGCCGCACAAGGATTCGGAGCTGCCAACGACAGTGAAATAGCAGCAGTGAGAAAGGAGAATGCCGACGATCCTCTGAGGTTGACTTCATGATTCAAAGGAAAGTTTTCCTCACTGAGCCAGCAGAGTTACTATGAGAATGGCAGGCAGGTGCGCACACTGAAAATCTTCCAGGCCCTCAAGTTCACAGCTAACAGAATTTTCTTCATTTTCCTCATAATTACAGACACAAAGTATGTCAGGAATCGTGGCTACACTAACACGAGACGAAGCTCAGAGAGACGTTTTTATAGACTTTGAGAGTTCTGACAGATGTACCTAGAAGGGTTCTAGGAGTCTTCCTATGATTCTAACCTCCCTCAGATGCTGCCTTCCGGCCTGAGCGCACCACTCTAGCAAATGCACCTGGGAACTGCGGTAGTGCAATCCTCCCTTTCTTCCCTCAGGGCTTGGCAAAGAACCCGGCATTGACTTACTTCCTAAATCTGTCATGACTTAGGATGAAGTTTTGATGTCATATTTATTTTGTGTGGGTGTGTGTTCCCATCCCTTGGCTTGAATGTGGAATCAGAGGACAATTTGAAAAACAAACAAACAAACAAACAGCGGTTCTCTCATTCTACCATGTGGATCCTGTGGATCAAATTTACATCATTAGACCCTGTGTGAAGAGAATGTACCTGGTGAACCATCTCTCCTGCCCCACTGATTTTTATTTAAATTGATGAATAGCTATTATCTTCGATCTCATTTTAATAGAGATTGACTATGTTATAGAATATATACATTCATTCTAATAGAATAAAGTCTTTAGATCTAGGCTACTAAATGGAACGTGGGAAGAGTTGTGCCTTCTGACCTCACCAGGAAGACTTTAGCTTTTGACTAATGAATTGTACCTTTTTAGCAGGTGGACTTATTGCTCTGGTTAGACAGGGTTCAAGACATACCACCCAAACTGTGTGCAATGGCATATTGAAAAGGGGAAGGCACAGAGAGGTCTCTCTGACCTTTTCTGCACACTTCTTTTCCGAGGTAGGTCATAAAACCTAGGATAGATTTTTTGACCTCTTCTACAGCCAGTCCTATGAAGGTCCTGGAGAGGTGTCTTTCAAATCTCCAGAGGAAATGGGCATCTTTATCTTGGTAGAGGAATGCAAACACTCCAGCCTCAGAACCCTGCCCATAGTGTTCTCTCATGTTTATCCACCAGTGCCCTTCATCAAGTGGATAATAACGCATGGGTTTGTAGCCTCTCTTCTTATAAATAAAACTTGATTCAAATGAGTTTATATTCTTTAGTTGTGTTATACTGGTCTCAACTACAAACCACAAAGAATATAAAAATTAATTTTTTTCTATTCCCCCAGTAGTTAGCATTAGTGCTGTAAGATCTTAAAGCACAAAGGCTAAAACATGAGAATACATTATCAATATAAAGCAGATGTGAGAAATTAGCTGTATGTTAGATATGTATTTGACAGTTTATCATATTTCCCACATGAAGATGATTGAAGCAAAGCACGGCTTTCCTCTGTACTTGTTAGCAATAAATAATTATTTCAAAAAAAAATAAAGGTTTGTGAAACATACCGTCCGCTAACAAAAGCCAATAACAAAAGACATTGGTTAAAAGAAGAGAAGCTGTGGGCCTTTAACTTAATTTACACTAGTGTTCCAAAGAGATTAAAGTTAGAGAAACAAGCAGGTCTGCAGATGAAAAAGATGGAAGTGCAGAAGAGGAGGTCCTAAAGCATCATGAGCATTCTAATGCCCACAGAGCCAGGGCTCCCAGTGGCTGCAAGAAGAAAGAGAAAACTCAAAATTCCCCACACTTGAAAGACAGAAAGAAAGAAAGAAAGAAAGAAAGAAAGAAAGAAAGAAAGAAAGAAAGAAAGAGAGGAGAAAGAAAGGAAATGAGAAAAAAGAAAAATAGAAAAAGAATAAACAAATTTGAGTTGAAGAGTAGAAAAATAATATGTTATAGCAGATGCTGAGCCTGATGGCCAACTGTTGGGCAGAGTGAGTGGAATTTTATGTAAGAAGTGGGAAATAGTAAGAGCTGGAGAGGACAGGAACTCCACAAGGAGAGCAACAGAACAAGAAAATTTGAACACAGGGAACTTCCCAGAGACTCATACTCCAACCAAGGACTATTCATGGAGATAACCTAGAACCCTGACAATGCAGCCACTTCTGATGAGAACTGATAGACTAAGATCAGAAAGAAGGAGAGGAGGACCTCCCCTATCAGTGGACTTGGGGAGGGGCATGCATGCAGAAAGGTGGGGGGAGGGTGGGACCGGGAGGGGAGAAGGTAGGGGCTTATGGGGGGATACAAAATGAATAAAATGTAATTAATAAAAGTTAAATAAAAAAATTTAAAAAATTATATTGAAAGGAAAAATGGCCTCTTCTGGAGCAATTAAAAGCAGATTCCTTAAGAGTCTCATGCAAGGTACTTGATTCCACTCTATTTTTAAAATTTTAGTTCAGAGTAGTTTTCATTCCTCTCAGCATGCTACAATTATAAACTCCCTTTAAAAAAAATCAAACATTAAAATTCTATGTACATAGAATAAAAACTCACACTGATTTTATAGCCCACTGTCTATATTAATATTAAGGCTATAATGTATAATTCACCATATTTTCTGCTTCACAGCTTGGAAAATCCACAAAGAAATCTTGCCTTTCATTTTAATCTCGTTTCACTTTGAAATAATACTGCTAAGTCTTTTAAAAGTTTTTTCCCCCTTAGTAAACATCTGAGCATAGATATCTCGTTTTAATGAATCAGTTGAGGAATGTGGTTCACAATACTCCATTTGTAACATAAGGTGAAAATTAACAGATGGTGACCCAGAAGCAAGCCCAGTCTAATGATGGTCTTTGTAAAGTTTGTTCTAGTTAGTTAATTACATATTTACATACACATTAATTACATATTATTCGTGGCTGCTTGGTACTGCAAAAAAGAGTTCATTGATTTTTATCAGAGGTTTCCTGTTCCACAAAACCTTCAAATATTTCTCACTAAGGAATGTTTTGTCAATAGAAAATAATTAATAATAGACAATAATTGGGTGTTTTCTGTCAAATACTATTATTACAAAGTCTATTATCGATACTGAGGTTGTGACCAGCCCAATACTGTTTCTTTGTATCGAAGAGATAGAAACAGCTGAGCACCATGGAGTGCAGCAAGCACTGACAGCTCCTTTTGGTAATTCCCACGTGGTCAGACAAAGAGCCTTAGAGATACCTGTGGCATTGTTCCTCATTGGCACCGTTTACTAGGCCCGTGGTTGTTCCAAACGTAGAGTAGCTGGGAAATGTGAGTGAAGATAATGTTAATGCTCCAAGAAGCATACTGTTCGGTCTTTAATGCCATCGCACCTCTGGGATTCTGCAACCACACCCTGTGCTCCATCTCCTGCATCTGTGACTGCGGTTGCTTTAGTAATCTCTAGTTTCTAGGCTCCACCTACTACTCTTGGTTGTCTTTCTACCTTACAGACCTGACGGGCCTGAGGAGTTTACATGGGATGCCGCTGTTCGCTCACAGTTTCACAGCGATACTTCCACGGGACTCTCCTCTAACCCAACCACAAATTACTCCTGGTCGCCCTTCTGCTCATTCTTACTATTATGTCAAATTTTGTTATTTTTTTTAAAAGAATCATCAGTCTTCCAAACAATACAATATTTAAGCATTCTTCTTCTTCTTTTTGTTATGAATGTAATTTATTTTTTTATTTTATATTTTTCTTTATTAATTACACTTTATTCACTTTGTATCCCCCCCCCC